TTTTCAGATTGCCAATTTACGCGGCCCGGAATGCGTCTCAATTTCACGCGCCCTCAAATTTGAGACTCTGTGGCATTGTGTGTGACAAAACTGCACATTTTAAAGTGGGCCTTTTATTGTCCCCAGCACAACACATCTTTTTGTGCGTATGGAACATTTCTGGGATCATTTATTTCAGTTCATGAAACATGGGACCAACACTTTACATGTTGCGTTTATTTTTGCTCAGTATATATATTATATATATATATATATTTATTTATTTTAGTCAGTGCTGCTGCTGCCATGTTGACCCAGAGACTGTAGATAGGACTGAATTACTACAGTCACATAAAACAAAATGAAGAGTTCATGTTCACCTCCTCTACAATCAGCCTACTGTCTATATACAGGTAACTGATACAATTATGGAAACACTTGAGTACATTTTTATTTTTTTTATTTTGTCATTTAGCAGACGCTCTTATCCAGAGCGACTTACAGGAGCAATTAGGGTTAAGTGCCTTGCTCAAGGGCACATTGACAGATTTTTCACCTAGTTGGCTCGGGGATTAGAACCAGCGACCTTTCGGTTACTGGCACAATGCTCTTAACCACTAAGCTACCTGCCGCCCGTAAATGAGGGATACAAAGTATATTGGGTTGTTCTTCCTGAGTTAATTAAGCAATTAACATCCCATCATGCTTAGGGTCATGTAGAAAAAATATTGGGCAGGCCATTGCATCACATTAGTGGAAACCAAGACTGCTCTCAGGGTGGGTCTGCCGGTTTTGACTAGTAGGAGCGGCTTTTCGCAGCAGGTTAGGAGAATTAGGTTAAGGTTAAGAAAAGGGTTAGAGTCCACGGTTTCCACTAATGCGATACAGCATCATTTTGGCCATTATTTTGGCTACCATGGCTATGCCGCTATAGGATTGACAATGCTCCCATCCACAGGGCACGAGTGGTCACTGAATGGTTTGATGAGCATGAAAACAATGTAAGCCATATGCCATGGCCGCCTGAACACTTATGGGAAATTCTGGAGCGGCACCAGAGACAGTGTTTTCCACCACCATCAACAAAACTCAGAATGATGGAATTTCTCGTGGAAGAATGGTGTCGCATCCCTCTAACGGATAATTGTAGAATCTATGCCAAGGTGCACTGAAGCCGTTCTGGCTCGTGGCGGCCAACACTTTATGTTGGTGTTTCCTTTATTTTGGCAGTTACCTGTTGGTCAGGGGGAAAAAAAGAAAAACTACATTTTTCATGAATGTTAAAAAAGGGACAATAAACTTAGGATGAGGCCAATGTCGAGTAGATTTATTGAACATGTCTGTCCCACTTCACATCTAATAATTGTGTATTAATATGTTCAGGTACACAGCACACGCTTGGGATGAGTCCACCAAAACATTACAATACACACCTTGTTAAAGGAAACCAAAATGTGATTAAACCGCCCAATCTAGGCTTTGTGACAGAAACTCAGGACAAGGTGGAATCCGGTTGTAAAAATCATCCAATCATTAGCAGTAGTAGACCCATAACAACATTTCACTGCACTCAGTGTGAAGGCCAGCACAGACACAAACTCAAAGCCTTCAAACACACATATACACAGCAGCATGACTTCATACACAGCTGACATAACTAGGCTACATTACAGGTAGACTGAGCAAGATGACATCACCAATCACAACAGGGCGATTACCTTCTTAGTCATCAACATCAAAGCTACCAAGATTGCAATTATTGGCTCTTTGTAGCATGAAGAGACAATCATGGCAGTCTTGGTCTTGAAGTCTAAATCAGGAGTGTCCCGATGTTTCTGAGTATGCCATCTTGCTACTATTAACTTACAAAATATACATGTTTTCATAATCTAGACATGTAGTTTTCTATCCTGTCATATAATGTGAGCACAATTCAAGCTAAATAACATTTTCTAATTGGAGCAGTTTTTGTTTTGACACTAAACTTGCTGTTGGTCTTGCTCTCTGTTAATACATGGTAGTTACACAAAACAAGAGTCCTCTGTATGACGGAATAAAACGCAATATCAAAGAAACAGTAATATAATGGTGTTAACCAAAGCTCAAAAACTTCACTTTAAAATCAAACTAAAAGTTATAATGGACTATGTTATTAATATACGCTATGGAAAAGGAAATATTGCAATGGAAAAGTATTTCACAGTAATGTAATTACATCTTGACTTGGCAAAGAGAAATGATAACCAATTAAATAAAACAGATATCATTTAGTACATCAAACAGAATACCAATGTGTAATGAATATTTTGTTTGTTACTTAATTTATCCAACTGACCTTTGACAATCTGCTTCATTATTTAGAAAATATCCCTGTGTGAAAAATGAGGGGCAGACTTACGTTAATATGTGATTAAATTCATTGATAAATTCATTTTTTATCATAGGCTTATGACTAAACGAGGCCAAACGAGTTTCCTCTCACTAATTTTGTTCAGTGCAAATAGTTTTACATTTATCATTCAATACACGATTGCGTGTCCTCACAATGGCTTTTGAAAAACAAGGACAACGGGATAGGATGGAGACTGTTTGACATGTCAACATTGTCCTTGTTTTTCTATAGTACATAAACTCCACAGGATTAGCTTTCACTGTCTAGCGCTGCTCTTTCCTTTTCTTAAAGAAACTTAAAAATGGCTGACAGACACCACAGGTGATGAACGGTGTTGACTGTCACTGTTTTAAAAAAAACAACAACTGGATTGATTTGTCTGAATGGTATGATTTCTATTGAGAGAAAGAGTGAAAACATAATGGTAGATGGAGGCTAGCTACACCATTCAGTTGTGAATAAAAACATTTTTTCCCCCTCAATTCCTTAAAGGATAGGTAGCATAAACGTAACCACATGTAACATATGGATTTGCATTATTATACGCATCAAAAGTCCCAATGCAAAGTTACCTCACTTTTCTATCTTTGGAGTTATTACATAAAACTGATTAGAATTCCGAACAATACTATAATCACGTCGGAAAATGTTTTTTCCAAATGTGATGTAATATGGAGGACCCAGCAAGCCAGCCTATTCCCTATAATGTAAACTCCAACTGAAATAACTTCACATTTATAAATTCAAATCAAGCCAAATCGTTTGCACTCAGACTACTGGTTTCAATGTAATTTTCAGCCAACTTACAAGAAAATACTTTATGAATTCATTGTTACAAATTAACTTGCACGGTTGCTAGCCAACTAGCCTGCTAACGTTAGCCCTACTAGCCTGCTAACATTATGTTAGCACTGAATGAGTCAGCCAGTTGCTATCAACACCTGCTTTACAGCTACATTAAAGTAAACCAACGTTTGGAAATATATAACGCCATCTAACCAGTTATCTTAGCCAGCAAGCTAGCCAGCCAGCTAACATTAGCTATTTAGCCAACTAGCTATTAGCCTAGCCAGCATAGCCAACCACCACGGTTATGGTTGGCAAGCTAGAGCCCAACTACTGGAGACCAGCTAGAACACAACATAACTAAAACATAACCGCAGATTAAAAGCAAAGAGAGAGCAGAGACTTACAGATTGATGGTTGGGACCCATCCAATGGTAAAACTTTTAAAAGAGTGCAGGCTGAGTTAGCTACCAAAGCGAGGGGGAGGTGGGCGCTTCAACGGGCCGAAATCCTCAATAGATAGATTCCAGATGTCAGTCAGCTAGCGCACTAGCACTAAGCCAAGGTGGAAAAAGTTACAAAACTCCCGTAGCCTACTTCACAGAGAACATGCCGAAAAGTTAAGAAACCAAAAAGGTTAACAGACGAGGTACTACAAAAAGCAGGTGTGATTTTCTCTTTTGTTTTGAGCCCACGGCAAGAAAGCACCAGAGCCTGCCATGCTAACAGGTTTCCTCTAGATAACACAAGCACAAAGTCTGTGAATAGCATGAGGTGTGGCTAACGTTTGCCAGCTTCAGCTAGCTACTGAGCAGCTAACAAACTTGGGTAGCACAGATTAGATCCTCCATATGAAGTTGAGAAATAGTGCATTGTGGGTAGTTTAGAAGTTATCCGAAAATAAGTTAATAAATATGTAATAACCCAAACACATGACAATGTTTGTACTTATAGGTAACCAGATCGTGACTACAACCAAGTTACTAAGTCTTTGACCACACTGTGTTGTTACATTGGTGAGTAAGAGCTAATGCTTCCTACCCTTTAAATATGTATTGCAGGTGAAACATCTGTGACGTTTAACTACGATCGTTCATTTGATGGAAGCCATGATCTTGATGTACTGGAGAGCGCTGTGTGCGGCGTCGTTGTGTGCGTTGCCGCAGGAGATGCCCGTGCCGTGGCATACGGTGACGGGTGAGGTGGACAGCTCTGCCAGGCACTGGTACTGCCCGTTCACTGTCAGCTCATCTGCCAAGCAAACCACAGACACACTACACTGTACAATACACCTGGAATAGGCCCGTTGAGCCATTCTTGAAAACAGACAAAGTTCACATCTATGAGAGCTATGGTGATTTCATGGTCAGCAAAAGGAAGAGATGAACTCTACTCACCGATGTCAAAGTATGTGACTTCAAAGCCCTGCTCTTGGGATAGCTCCAGCATCATCTGGATGTAGTCTGTGTTGGGAATACTGAGTGGGTTCCTTCTCAGGAGAGACATCTTCTCTGCTGAGGAGTTACGCAAGTTCTCCAATCGGACACCGGGCTTTGGGATCTGGAATGAGTTGGTCAAAGAATACACATTACATTCATTCTAGATGACAAAATGTACCTAAATATGTTTTTATCATTCTTTGTGAAGAGGCCAAATAGAGAGGAAATATTCTACATACCCATGTGATTTCAGGACAGCCAGACACAAGTTTTGCCAAAATTTTCTCTGCAGCTGCCTTTTTAGCCACCTTCTTGGAATTTCCCGTTGCTATCGGTTACATGTGGATGACATACAGCACTATGAATGACTCAAATGAACACTTCCGAAAGTAGAATGTGTTTAAATAATCCACCAATCCAAATAAAACACAACTATGTTATTTCAATGCAATGATAAAACATTTAGAAAGAATAACAGTGGAATCACCATACCAGTCTCTGTGAGCGACTCCATTCTGCAGGTCACAGTGAACTCTCTCTTGTGAGGTGGGCCTGCCTCTGTGAAAACAGTGTATTCAGGGAGGCGCCATCCCCGCTGCAGGGCCAGCTCCTTTGTGGAGGAATCCATAATAGCAAAGATGTGAAAACAAGCAATCTATTCATAACCATAAGGACTATTTTTATTCTGTTCCCCTGACGGTGCTCAATGACAACAGAAATGTGTTACTATGACTACAGTCCTGCAACAATACACAGCCCTATTGTCTTACAACAGGCCAATAACAAAGACACCTGCAGTTTCCCCACTGAGTTGGGTTGGTCGTTGGGCTCTTCTGGGATGCCGTTACTTTCCTTCTTTAAGTGAAGGCTGCAGTGGGGGAAAATCAGACTTAAAAAGTGAACAATGTTACTGGCTGTAATGGTTGCAAATGCTACTTGTTGGCAGATATTGTCCATGTTAACTCACGGTGTTCCAGTGTCTATTTCCAGAAGGTTCAGGACAGACTCAGCGGCCTGGTGTTTGGCAGCTTTTTTACTGGATCCTTGACCTGGGATACAACAACAGAATGACATCATATTGAGGATGAGGCAAACATGAATATAACTTTGAAGCCCATGTTGTTTATACAAGCCCCCCTAATTCTCTAGCTAAGTAGAGTGTAATGTACATAGCTAGCTATCTACGTTGCAAGATGACTCACTCACCTGTGCAGGACATATCTCCTATTGTAACGTTGAAGATGAAGCTGGGTTGGTGCGCCTCCCCTTCAGCCTTTTCCATCACGTACACGGGAGGGTTTCCAATTTTGGTTCCGTATTCATGTAGAACTTGTATGGGTGTTTTACCAGGGCACGGTGCCTGTGGTTGTTGAATACTCAAGCTGCGTAAAAAGCATGATGAACAGTCATTAGTGTCACTGCATTGGATTCAATGGTATAGCTGTGTTTGTTGTATTATTTAGCAACCAATGACAGTCCAAGTTGTGAGAAGTACAGTACGTATAGCTAATTGGGCATTGCTAATAACAATTATACCCAGGTAGCTATCTAGGGTTAGCGTGCTAGCTAACGTCGAACATCAAATGGATGTAGCTAGCTGGTAGCATGACAGACCTCTTGTTATATATTATTGACAACCAATGACAGTCCCAAGTTGTGAGAAGTACAGTACAGCTAGCTAATTGGGCATTGCTAATAATTATAGCCTTCAAACTACCGCTCCAACAGATCCATGGAAGAAGCAATTTACATCGCTATTCACACGGCCCTAACACATCTGGGCCCGGTTTCCTGTTGGCGAGGGAACTTAGGCTTTGGTGTGTTTTAACAATGCAGCTTTCCTACAACGGCCGAAAATGTAACATACTTGAGTAAAAGTAAAGATACCTTAATAGAAAATGACTCAAGTAAAAGTCGCCCAGTAAAATACTACTTGAGTAAAAGTATTTGGTTTTAAATATACTTAAGTATCAAAAGTAAAAAGTATAAATCATTTCAAATGTCTTATATTAAGCGAACCACGGTTAGCCAGAGGCACAATCCAACAGAGACATAATTTACAAACAAAGCATGTGTGTTTAGTGAGTCCACCAGATCAGAGGCAGTAGGGATGACCAGGAATGTTCTCTTGATAAGTGCGTGAATTTGACCATTTTCTTGTCCTGCTAAGCATTGAAAATGTAACGAGTACTTTTGGGTGTCAGGGAAAATGTATGGAGTAAAAAGTACATTATTTTCTTTAGGAATGTAGTGAAGTAAAAGTTGTCTAAAATAGAAATATTAAAGTCAAGTAGAGATACCAAAAAAACTACTTAAGTTGTACTTAAGTATTTTTACACCACTGCACAATACTGACTACGTTTCAGCACCTAGAGAGATATTACCACCTACAGCTGCAAATATTGAAGTGGCTTATTCTAATGCTTACCCAATACAAAATCACAGATTTGGCACATCATTGCGCACATGTTAGGCTACACGTCATGAAATATATTGAGACAAAGTACTGACAGTAGCCTACAAGTAGCAAAATAGAACTCAATTGATTGAACATTAAATGTATTTCAATATGATTGAAATAGGCCTATAGCCTACTGTTTACATTTTTATGCAGTCATCTCGGTTTTCATTTGAAGCATATTTTTAAACGTTGCTTGTTTGTATCAGTTGCAAAGACATTGGCAACTTTCTTTGTAGTCAACTTTGTTCTGAAAATATCGGCATCACTGAGAGACAGATAAACCAGTGGTTCTATGTTTAGCGGAGATCTTCTGTGTATAAGTGACGTAGGAGGGCAAAAAAAAAAGCATCTAACGACGCACTTAGCTGTTCTACAAGTGGTCTGAGACAGGCGTTAGATTACGAGCCTTTTCAAGTACAACGTTAATAACGATGGTTTTGGGAAAAAACTCTGATTTAACGATGCTCATACGAAGGTTCTAACGAAGAACTTAACCTTTAGATGCTTTTGGGAAACAGGGCCCTGGACAAGAGGTACACCTATGTGAGAATGCTGTTCATTGACTACAGTTCAGTATTGAACACTATTGTTCCCTCCAAGCTCGTCACCAGGATCAGAGCCCTGGGTCTTGGCACTACCCTCTGCAACTGGATCCTGGACTTCCTGACGGGCAGACCACAGGATGGGAGAATTGACAACACCACCTCCTCCACACTAGTGCTTAACACAATGTTTGCTGACGACACCGCCACGGTTGTTGTCAGGCCTATGACGAGTCAGCCTATAGGGAGGCGGTAAGTGAATTGGCATTGTGGTGCCAGGACAACAACCTCTCCCTCAACATCAGCAAAGCAATGTAGTTGATTGTGGACTTCAGGAGGCAGAGGGAACACGCCCAGATACACATCAACGGGACTGCAGTGGAAACTCAGCAGTTTTAAGTTCCTCGGTGTCTGAAGAAATTCGGCATGTCACCCCGGGTCCTCTCCAAATACTACTGCAGCATCATCGAGAGCGTCCTGACCGGTTGCATTACGCCGGCAAGGCCCTCCAGCGGCGGGTGAACACGGCCCAGTACATCACTGGAGCCGTGTTCCCACCCCATCCAGGACATCTACCAGAAACGGTGCCTGAGTAAGTCCCGCTTCACCATTAAGGACCCCACACACACGAGCTGTTTACTCCCTTAACGTCAGGTAGACGGTATCGGAGCATGAGGTCTGATAAGAACAGGCTCAGAGACCGTTTATATCTACAAGCCACCAGACTGCTCTACACTTGAACTGGACTGACACCTGCACTTACTCTCCGCACATTAGCACACATGCACTCACTCACATATAGGCATTCATGCTACACACACATCGCAACTGCTGCTATCAGACTCTTTACTTACTACTGCTAATACTGCACAATTTAAACACTTGCCCCCAATCCCCCCTTTCTCTGATACATGTCTAAATACTGTCCTATAACCCCCCGTATATGGGGTAAAATGTGTATTCTATTCTACTGCGCCATTTACTTTCGTATTCTATAGTTATTTCTTATTGTTGTTGCATTGTCGAGAAGGAACCTGCAAGTAAGCATTTCCTTGGACGGTGTATAACATGTTTAGGATACGACTAATAACGTTTAACTTGACAATAATGCAAACTAAAGCTAGCTGACTAGCTAGCCAAGTAAAGAGCATCAAATGGATGGAAACCAAACCGACGTAGCTAGCTAGCTGGTAGCATGACAGACCTCGTGTTGTTATTGTGCGTTGTCCTTATTAGTGTAGGTTGAAATCCGTCTTGAGACATGGCTAACAATAACTAGTTAAGAATTTTCTTGGGTATACTGTTGCGCAAATATAATTGGTGTGCTGCAAAACAGGCGAATTTGGCTAGCTAGGGGGGAGTTGCCGATTTCAACTGGCGTCTTGTCAGCAACACTAACCAATCACTTACCTGTCACGGAATTTAGGAATCTTTCTAAATAAAAGTCTCACATAATAGTAAAAAAGCGTCACCTTGTATTATTAATTCATATATGACAAATAATTGTCTAAATATTAACAATTATTCATATTTAAATGACATTTGCATTACACTGGGGTTTTAAAACATGTTCCAAGGTCAAATAAAGAATAACACAATCAAAAACAAGTGAAGGAATTCTTGTACAGGATTGCTAGAATTTGTTGTGGGCTATTTACACAGAACAAAAATATAAACGCAATATGCAACAATTTCAAAGATTTTACTGAGTTAGTTCATATATGGAAATCAGTCAATTTAAATAAATTAATTAGGCTCTAATCTATGGATTTCACATGACTGGGAATACAGATATGCATCTGTTGGTCAGGGGCCTGGATCATAAAACCAGTCAGTATCTGGTGTGACCACCATTTGCCTCATGCACCGTGACACATCTCCTTCACATAGAGTTGATCAGGCTGTTGATTGTGGCCTGTGGAATGTTGTCCTACACCTCTTCAATGGCTGTGCGAAGTTGCTGGATATTGGCGGGAACTGGAACACGCTGTCGTAAACTTCAATCCAGAGCATCCCAAACATGCTCAATGGGTGACATATCTGGTGAGTATGCAGACCATGGAAGAACTGGGACATTTTCAGCTTCCAGGAATTGTGTACAGATCATGCTGAAACATGAGGTGATGGCGGCGGATGAATGGCAAGACAATGGGCCTCAGGATCTCATCACGGTATCTCTGTGCATTCAAATTGCCATCGATAAAATGAAATTGTGTTCGTTGTCTGTAGCTTATACCTGCCCATACCATAACCTCACCGCTACCATGGTGCACTCTGTTCACAACATTGACATCGGCACAAACCGCTCGTCCACACAACGCCATACATGCTATGCAGTCTGCTATCTGCCCGGTACAGTTGAAACCGGGATTAATCTGTGAAGAGTACACTTCTCCAGCTTGCCAGTGGCCATGGAAGGTGAGCATTTGCCCACTGATGTCGGCTACGACGCCGAGCTGCAGTCAGTTCAAGACCCTGGTAAGGACGATGAACACGCAGATGAGCTTCCCCGAGACGGTTTCTGACAGTTTGTGCTGAAATTATTCGGTTGTGCAAACCCACAGTTTAATCAGCTGTCCGGCTGGCTGGTCTCAGACGATCCCGCAGGTGAAGAAGCCAGATGTGGAGGTCCTGGGCTGGCGTGGTTACATGTGGTCTGCGGTTATGAGGCCGGTTGGACGTACTGCCAAATTCTCTAAAACGACATTGGAGGCAGCTTATGGTAGATAAATGAACAGTTAATTATCTGGCAACAGTTCTGGTGGACATTCCTGCAGTCAGATTGCCAATTTCACGCGCCCTCAAAATTTGAGACATCTGTGGCATTGTGTGTGACAAAACTGCACATTTTAAAGTGGCCTTTTATTGTCCCCAGCACAACACATCTTTTTGTGCGTATGGAACATTTCTGGGATCATTTATTTCAGTTCATGAAACATGGGACCAACACTTTACATGTTGCGTTTATATTTTTGCTCAGTATATATATATATATATATATATATTTATTTATTTTAGTCAGTGCTGCTGCTGCCATGTTGACCCAGAGACTGTAGATAGGACTGAATTACTACAGTCACATAAAACAAAATGAAGAGTTCATGTTCACTCCTCTACAATCAGCCTACTGTCTATATACAGGTAACTGATACAATTATGGAAACACTTGAGTACATTTTTATTTTTTTTATTTTGTCATTTAGCAGACGCTCTTATCCAGAGCGACTTACAGGAGCAATTAGGGTTAAGTGCCTTGCTCAAGGGCACATTGACAGATTTTTCACCTAGTTGGCTCGGGGATTAGAACCAGCGACCTTTCGGTTACTGGCACAATGCTCTTAACCACTAAGCTACCTGCCGCCCGTAAATGAGGGATACAAAGTATATTGGGTTGTTCTTCCTGAGTTAATTAAGCAATTAACATCCCATCATGCTTAGGGTCATGTAGAAAAAATATTGGGCAGGCCATTGCATCACATTAGTGGAAACCAAGACTGTTCTCAGGGTGGGTCTGCCGGTTTTGACTAGTAGGAGCGGCTTTTCGCAGCAGGTTAGGAGAATTAGGTTAAGGTTAAGAAAAGGGTTAGAGTCACGGTTTCCACTAATGCGATACAGCATCATTTTGGCCATTATTTTGGCTACCATGGCTATGCCGCTATAGGATTGACAATGCTCCCATCCACAGGGCACGAGTGGTCACTGAATGGTTTGATGAGCATGAAAACAATGTAAGCCATATGCCATGGCCGCCTGAACACTTATGGGAAATTCTGGAGCGGCACCAGAGACAGTGTTTTCCACCACCATCAACAAAACTCAGAATGATGGAATTTCTCGTGGAAGAATGGTGTCGCATCCCTCTAACGGATAATTGTAGAATCTATGCCAAGGTGCATTGAAGCCGTTCTGGCTCGTGGCGGCCAACACTTTATGTTGGTGTTTCCTTTATTTTGGCAGTTACCTGTTGGTCAGGGGAAAAAAACTACATTTTTCATGAATGTTAAAAAAGGGACAATAAACTTAGGATGAGGCCAATGTCGAGTAGATTTATTGAACATGTCTGTCCCACTTCACATCTAATAATTGTGTATTAATATGTTCAGGTACACAGCACACGCTTGGGATGAGTCCACCAAAACATTACAATACACACCTTGTTAAAGGAAACCAAAATGTGATTAAACCGCCCAATCTAGGCTTTGTGACAGAAACTCAGGATAAGGTGGAATCCGGTTGTAAAAATCATCCAATCATTAGCAGTAGTAGACCCATAACATTTCACTGCACTCAGTGTGAAGGCCAGCACAGACACAAACTCAAAGCCTTCAAACACACATATACACAGCAGCATGACATCATACACAGCTGACATAACTAGGCTACATTACAGGTAGACTGAGCAAGATGACATCACCAATCACAACAGGGCGATTACCTTCTTAGTCATCAACATCAAAGCTACCAAGATTGCAATTATTGGCTCTTTGTAGCATGAAGAGACAATCATGGCAGTCTTGGTCTTGAAGTCTAAATCAGGAGTGTCCCGATGTTTCTGAGTATGCCATCTTGCTACTATTAACTTACAAAATATACATGTTTTCATAATCTAGACATGTAGTTTTCTATCCTGTCATATAATGTGAGCACAATTCAAGCTAAATAACATTTTCTAATTGGAGCAGTTTTTGTTTTGACACTAAACTTGCTGTTGGTCTTGCTCTCTGTTAATACATGTGGTAGTTACACAAAACAAGAGTCCTCTGTATGACGGAATAAAACGCAATATCAAAGAAACAGTAATATAATGGTGTTAACCAAAGCTCAAAAACTTCACTTTAAAATCAAACTAAAAGTTATAATGGACTATGTTATTAATATACGCTATGGAAAAGGAAATATTGCAATGGAAAAGTATTTCACAGTAATGTAATTGAATCTTGACTTGGCAAAGAGAAATTATAACCAATTAAATAAAGCAGATATCATTTAGTATATCAAACAGAATACCAATGTGTACTGAATATTTTGTTTGTTACTTAATTTATCCAACTGACCTTTGACAATCTGCTTCATTATTTTGAAAATATCCCTGTGTCAAAAATGAGGGGCAGACTTACGTTAATATGTGATTAAATTCATTGATAAATTCATTTTTTATCATAGGCTTATGACTAAACGAGGCCAAACGAGTTTCCTCTCACTAATTTTGTTCAGTGCAAATAGTTTTACATTTATCATTCAATACACGATTGCGTGTCCTCACAGTGGCTTTTGAAAAACAAGGACAATGGGATAGGATGGAGACTGTTTTCGACATGTCTACATTTTGGCAGCAAGGCCTTTCTCAAGACTAGTGTCCATTCCCTTGTCCTTGTTTTTCTATAGTACATAAACTCCACAGGATTAGCTTTCACTGTCTAGCGCTGCTCTTTCCTTTTCTTAAAGAAACTTAAAAATGGCTGACAGACACCACAGGTGATGAACGGTGTTGACTGTCACTGTTTTAAAAAACAACAACTGGATTGATTTGTCTGAATGTCATGATTTCTATTAATACTGCCTTCAATATTAACCAATTCCACACAAAGTGAACCCTGGGGTAAAGAGTGAAAACATAATGGTAGATGGAGGCTAGCTACACCTTTCAGTTGTGAATAAAAACATTTTTTCCCCCTCAATTCCTTAAAGGATAGGTAGCATAAACGTAACCACATGTAACATATGGATTTGCATTATTATACGCATCAAAAGTCCCAATGCAAAGTTACCTCACTTTTCTATCTTTGGAGTTATTACATAAAACTGATTAAAATTCCGAACAATACTATAATCACGTCGGAAAATGTTTTTTCCAAATGTGATGTAATATGGAGGACCCAGCAAGCCAGCCTATTCCCTATAATGTAAACTCCAACTGAAATAACTTCACATTTATGAATTCAAATCAAGCCAAATCGTTTGCACTCAGACTACTGGTTTCAATGTAATTTTCAGCCAACTTACAAGAAAATACTTTATGAATTCATTGTTACAAATTAACTTGCACGGTTGCTAGCCAACTAGCCTGCTAACGTTAGCCCTACTAGCCTGCTAACATTATGTTAGCACTGAATGAGTCAGCCAGTTGCTATCAACACCTGGTTTACAGCTACATTAAAGTAAACCAACGTTTGGAAATATATAACGCCATCTAACCAGTTATCTTAGCCAGCAAGCTAGCCAGCCAGTTAACATTAGCTATTTAGCCAACTAGCTATTAGCCTAGCCAGCATAGCCAACCACCACGGTTATGGTTGGCAAGCTAGAGCCCAACTACTGGAGACCAGCTAGAACACAACACAACTAAAACATAACCGCAGATTAAAAGCAAAGAGAGAGCAGAGACATACAGATTGATGGTTGGGACCCATCCGATGGTAAAACTTTTAAAAGAGTGCAGGCTAAGTTAGCTACCAAAGCAAGGGGGAGGTGGGCGCTTCAACGGGCCGAAATCCTAAATAGATAGATTCCAGATGTCAGTCAGCTAGCGCACTAGCACTAAGCCAAGGTGGAAAAAGTTACAAAACTCCCGTAGCCTACTTCACAGAGAACATGCCGAAAAGTTAAGAAAGCAAAAAGGTTAACAGACGAGGTACTACAAAAAGCAGGTATGATTTTCTCTTTTGTTTTGAGCCCACGGCAAGAAAGCACCAGAGCCTGCCATGCTAACAGGTTTCCTCTAGATAACACAAGCACAAAGTCTGTGAATAGCATGAGGTGTGGCTAACGTTTGCCAGCTTCAGCTAGCTACTGAGCAGCTAACAAACTTGGGTAGCACAGATTAGATCCTCCATATGAAGTTGAACAATAGTGCATTGTGGGTAGTTTAGAAGTTATCCGAAAATAAGTTAATAAATATGTAATAACCCAAACACATGACTATGTTTGTACTTCTAGGTAACCAGATCGTGACTACAACCAAGTTACTAAGTCTTGCTTCCTACCCTTTAAATATGTATTGCAGGTGAAACATCTGTGACGTTTAACTACGATCGTTCATTTGATGGAAGCCATGATCTTGATGTACTGGAGAGCGCTGTGTGCGGCGTCGTTGTGTGCGTTGCCGCAGGAGATGCCCGTGCCGTGGCATACGGTGACGGGTGACGTGGATAGCTCTGCCAGGCACTGGTACTGCCCGTTCACTGTCAGCTCATCTGCCAAGCGAACCACAGACACACTACACTGTACAATACACCTGGGAATAGGCCCGTTGAGCCATTCTTGAAAAACAGACAAAGTTCACATCTATGAGAGTTATGGTGATTTCACGGTCAGTAAACGGAAGAGATGAACTCTACTCACCGATGTCAAAGTATGTGACTTCAAAGCCCTGCTCTTGGGATAGCTCCAGCATCATCTGGATGTAGTCTGTGTTGGGAATACTGAGTGGGTTCCTTCTCAGGAGAGACATCTTCTCTGCTGAGGAGTTACGCAAGTTCTCCAATCGGACACCGGGCTTTGGGATCTGGAATGAGTTGGTCAAAGAATACACATTACATTCATTCTAGATTACAAAATGCCCTAAATATGTTTTATCATTCTTTGTGAAGAGGCCAAATAGAGAGGAAATATTCTACATACCCATGTGATTTCAGGACAGCCAGACACAAGTTTTGCCAAAATTTTCTCTGCAGCTGCCTTTTTAGCCACTTTCTTGGAAGTTCCTGTTGCTATCGGTTACATGTGGATGACATACAGCACTATGAATGACTCAAATGAACACTTCCGAAAGTAGAATGTGTTTAAATAATCCACCAATCCAAATAAAACACAACTAATATGTTATTTCAATGCAATGATAAAACATTTAGAAAGAATAACAGTGGAATCACCATACCAGTCTCTGTGAGCGCCTCCATTCTGCAGGTCACAGTGAACTCTCTCTTGTGAGGTGGGCCTGCCTCTGTGAAAACAGTGTATTCAGGGAGGCGCCATCCCCGCTGCAGGGCCAGCTCCTTTGTGGAGGAATCCATATTAGCAAAGATGTGAAAACAAGCAATCTATTCATAACCATAAGGACTATTTTTCTTCTGTTCCCCTGACGGTGCTCAATGACAACAGAAATGTGTTACTATGACTACAGTCCTGCAACAATACACAGCCCTATTGTCTTACAACAGGCCAATAACAAAGACACCTGCAGTTTCCCCACTGAGTTGGGTTGGTCGTTGGGCTCTTCTGGGATGCCGTTACTTTCCTTCTTTAAGTGAAGGCTGCAGTGGGGGGAAAACCAGACTTAAAAAGTGAACAATGTTACTGGCTGTAATGGTTGCAAATGCTACTTGTTGGCAGATATTGTCCATGTTAACTCACGGTGTTCCAGTGTCTATTTCCAGAAGGTTCAGGACAGACTCAGCGGCCTGGTGTTTGGCAGCTTTTTTACTGGATCCCTTGACCTGGGATACAACAACAGAATGACATCATATTGAGGATGAGGCAAACATAAATATAACTTTGAAGTCCATGTTGTTTATACAAGCCCCCCTAATTCTCTAGCTAAGTAGAGTGTAATGTACATAGCAAGCTATCTACGTTGCAAGATGACTCACTCACCTGTGCAGGACATATCTCCTATTGTAACGTTGAAGATGAAGCTGGGTTGGTGCGCCTCCCCTTCAGCCTTTTCCATCACGTACACGGGAGGGTTTCCAATTTTGGTTCCGTATTCATGTAGAACTTGTATGGGTGTTTTACCAGGGCACGGTGCCTGTGGTTGTTGAATACTCAAGCTGCGTAAAAAGCATGATGAACAGTCATTAGTGTCACTGCATTGGATTCAATGGTATAGCTGTGTTTGTTGTATTATTTAGCAACCAATGACAGTCCAAGTTGTGAGAGGTACAGTACGGATAGCTAATTGGGCATTGCTAATAACAATTATACCCAGGTAGCTATCTAGGGTTAGCGTGCTAGCTAACGTCGAACATCAAAATGGATGTAGCTAGCTGGTAGCATGACAGACCTCGTGTTGTTATTGTGCGTGGTTCTTATTAGTGTAGGTTGAAATTCGTCTTGAGACATGGCTAACAATATCTAGTTAATAAAGTTGTTGGGTATATTGATCGAAGACTCGCCAGCAACCCTGACAAAGTACTTCCGGGTCACGGAATATCAGACATTTTCAAAGTAAAAGTCCCCCACGTAATAGCAGAAAAGTGTAAATAACCTGTATTTATTAATGATATATGAAAAATAATTGTCTAAACATTAACAATGACTAATATTAGTTAATATTTAAGTGACATTTTAATTCAATGTGGGTTTTAAAACATGCTCCAAGGTCAAATAAATGCCCCCAATGCAAATCACTGTATATGAAATACATATTGGTTTATAGAGTAAAAACTATTGTAGTGGCTGCAGTAAAACGTGTTGTTGGGAATACTCAATAGGGTCTGTAGAATGTATATATGGTGTCATTTCATGGGGCTCTGAATTATACGGATTGTTGCTGGCCTTTTACTCCACCCATTCCATTGGCCACAATGCAAATCACTGTATATGGATTACATGTTGGCATATTTTCTGAAAGCCATAAGATAATACTTAGAGCTGACCGTCTTCTCACTTCACAAAGGCTATTTCCCAGTATGAAGCATTGAATTAAATTAATTACTATCCCCAAGCACTAAGACTTTTGAACAGCCAAAGACTCCAGGCACTGAGACTTTTGAACAGCCAAAGACTCCAGGCACTGAGACTTTTGAACAGCCAAAGACTCCAGGCACTGAGACTTTTGAACAGCCAAAGACTCCAGGCACTGAGACTTTTGAACAGCCAAAGACTCCAGGCACTGAGACTTTTGAACAGCCAAAGACTCCAGGCACTGAGACTTTTGAACAGCCAAAGACTCCAGGCACTGAGACTTTTGAACAGCCAAAGACTCCAGGCACTGAGACTTTTGAACAGCCAAAGACTCCAGGCACTGAGACTTTTGAACAGCCAAAGACTCCAGGCACTGAGACTTTTGAACAGCCAAAGACTCCAGGCACTGAGACTTTTGAACAGCCAAAGACTCCAGGCACTGAGACTTTTGAACAGCCAGACAATGGCTGCCCACCCTCACCCACAGTCTATCTGCACTGACTATATGACTATATGCCACTCACGGGTCTCTACCCACACACTCACATATGCCTACACTGACACTCCTGCACAGACACACACAGACACACACACATACACACACACTGACACCAACACACATACACACACATTCATCACCACTCAAACACACCCACCCACCACTTATGCTGCTGCTATATTGATTATTATAATTATTATTTATTAACCGTTCACACCCTTCTTGTTGGCGGAGAGAAAATGTAGCTTATATTTAGCTTATTTCCTGCAATTCTACACATTTCGTCATGGGGTGCAGAGAAAACTTTGCCGTTTTAAAGCTCATTTTCTTGCAATTCTATACGTTTTGGCATTTATTATGTTTATTCATGTGATATTTGAGTGACTCAAACATTACAACAAAATCTATGGCCTAAAGAAATCAATGAGTTCATTATTTGAAAAAAAGGACCGTATGCATTTCAGGTAAAATAACAACCCAAGGTTTATCTCCAAGGACAAATTAGCCAGCAACAGCAAGCTAGCTAAAGATCCAGGAATGTTTCGACTTTCGACCTGTACCCAAATCAATACAGTTGGTTCACAGTTGGTTTTGGTATTTTAACCTGCCATGAACGCATCTGATGGGGATAGACACAATCAGCATGTGCACTTAGACATGCGTAGAGCCGGTTTGGTCAGCATGTTATGGTTTCACAGAACTAGGATAAGATACTTTTGTGTAGTGTATGCGGACACCCCTTCAAATTAGTGGATTCAGCTATTTCAGCCACACCCGTTACTGACAGGTGTATAAAATCGAGCATACAGCCATGCAATCTCTAACACAAACATTGGCAGTAGAATGGCCTTCATGAAGAGCTCAGTGACTTTCAACGTGGCACCGTCATAGGATGCCACCTTTCCAACAACTCAGTTCGTCAAATCTCTGCCCTGCTAGAGCTGCCCCGGTCAACTGTAAGTGCTTTTATTGTGAAGGGGAAACATCTAGGAGCAACAAGGGCTCAGCCGTAAAGTAGTAGGCAACACAGGCTCCCAGAGCGGGACCGCCGAGTGCTGAAGCGCGTTAAAATCGTCTGTCCTCGGTTTTAACTCTCACTACCGAGTTCCAAACTGCCCCTGGAAGAAACGTCAGCACAAGAACTGTTCGTCGGGAGCTTCATGAAATGGGTTTCCATGGCCGAGCAGCCGCACACAAGCCTAAGATCACCATGCGCAATGCCAAGCGTCGACTCTGCAGCAGTGGAAATGTGTTCCCTGGAGTGATGAATCACTCAGTCCGACGGATTAATCTAGGTTTGGTGGATGCCAGGAGAATGCTACCTGCCCCAATGTATAGTGCCAAATGTAATGTTTGGTGGAGGAGGAATAATGGTCTGGGGCTGTTTTTCATGGTTTCATGGCCCCTTAGTTCCAGTGAAGGGGATATCTTAACGCTACAGCAAACAATGACATTCTAGACGATTCTGTCCTTCCAACTTTGTGGCAACAGTTTGGGGATGGCCTTTCCCTGTTTCAGCATGACAATGCCCCGGTGCACAAAGCGAGGTCCATACAGAAAGGGTTTGTCGAGATCGGTGTGGAAGAACTTGACTGGCCTGCACAGAGCCCTGACCTCAACCCCATCAAACACCTTTACATTTACATTACATTTTAGTCATTTAGCAGACGCTCTTATCCAGAGCGACTTACAGTTAGTGCATACATTATTTTATCGAACCCACAACCCTGGCGTTGCAAACGCCATGCTCTACCAACTGAGCTACATCCCCTGCCGGCCAAATCCCTCCCCTACCCTGGACGACGCTGGGCCAATTGTGCGCGCCGCCCCATGGGTCTCCCGGTCGCGGACCTTTGGGATGAATTGGATGCTCTTGTGGCTGAATGGAAGCAAGTCCCTGCAGCAATGTTCCAACATCTAGTGGAAAGCCTTCCCAGAAGAGTGGAGGCTGTTATAGCAGCAAAGCGGGGACCAACTCCATATTAATGCCCATGATTTTGGAATGAGATTTTAGATGAACAGGTGTCCACATACATGTAGTGTACATGAGGCTATAAGCCACTAGAGGGTGCTACTAGGATAAGATACATGAAGCTATAAGCCACTAGAGCCCTCAAACTCAACTCTGGACCTCGAAGCTAGTTCCAGTGCATTTTTTCATTGTTCCACTCTAATGAGGGACTGATTTAGACCTGGGACTCCAGGTGTGTGTAATTCATTATCAGGTAGAACAGAAAACCAGCAGGCTCCGGACCTCGAAGGGTAAGAGTTGAGTTCCCCTGCACTAGAGGGTGTTACTAGGAAAAGATACGGTTTCCCAAACTCGGACCCGGTTCTGGGGCCTCCCTGGGTGCACGTTTTGGTTTTTGGGCTAGCAAGCTTGATGATTAGTTGATTGATTAGTTGATTATCAGTTGAATCAGCTGTATAGTGCTATGGCAAAATATGCACTCGGGGGGGACCCCAGGACCAATTTTAGGAAACCCTGGGATAAGATACGAGGCTGTAAGCCACTAGAGGGTGCTACTAGGAGAAGATACGAGGCTATAAGCCACTAGAGAGTGCTACTAGGAGAAGATACGAGGCTGTAAGCCACTAGAGGGTGCTACTAGGAGAAGATACGAGGCTGTAAGCCACTAGAGGGTGCTACTAGGAGAAGATACGAGGCTGTAAGCCACTAGAGGGTGCTACTAGGAGAAGATACGAGGCTGTAAGCCACTAGAGAGTGCTACTAGGAGAAGATACGAGGCTGTAAGCCACTAGAGGGTGCTACTAGGAGAAGATACGAGGCTGTAAGCCACTAGAGGGTGCTACTAGGAGAAGATACGAGGCTGTAAGCCACTAGAGGGTGCTACTAGGAGAAGATACGAGGCTGTAAGCCACTAGAGGGTGTTACTAGGAGAAGATACGAGGCTGTAAGCCACTAGAGGGTGCTACTAGGAGAAGATACGAGGCTGTAAGCCACTAGAGTGTGCTACTAGGAGAAGATACGAGGCTGTAAGCCACTAGAGGGTGCTACTAGGAGAAGATACGAGGCTGTAAGCCACTAGAGGGTGCTACTAGGAGAAGATACGAGGCTGTAAGCCACTAGAGAGTGCTACTAGGAGAAGATACGAGGCTGTAAGCCACTAGAGAGTGCTACTAGGAGAAGATACGAGGCTGTAAGCCACTAGAGGGTGCTACTAGGAGAAGATACGAGGCTGTAAGCCACTAGAGGGTGCTACTAGGAGAAGATATGAGGCTGTAAACCACTAGAGGGTGCTACTAGGAGAAGATTCGAGGCTGTAAACCACTAGGCCAGGGGTAGGCAACCCTGTTCCTGGAGGGCCGCAGGTACTGCAGAGTTACTGCAGGATTTTGTTCCAACTACACGCCACACCTGCCCAACTGAGCTAATTGATCAATTCAGTGCTTAAATTCAATACCCCTGGTCTTCCAGGTCAGTTCAGTCAAAAACCAGGGTTACCTACCCCATGCACTATTTATTTTATTTCACCTTTATTTCACCTTTATTTCACCTTTATTTAACCAGGTAAGCCAGTTGAGAACAAGTTCTCATTTACAACTGCGACCTGGCCAAGATAAAGCAAAGCAGTGCGATACAAACAACAACAACACAGAGTTACATATGGAAAATAACAAAA